CACCTGGTCAAGCACATCAAGAAATTAGAGAAAGTGCAAAGGTTTGCAACAATGCTAGTTCCAGAGCTAAGGGGATTGTCCTACGAAGAAAGGTTGAGGGAAATCAGTCTGACGACACTGGAGGACAGGAGGGTCAGGGGTGACATGATAACGACATACAAAATACTGCGTGGAATAGATAAGGTGGACAGACAGGATGTTCCAGAGATGGGACACAGAAACAATGGGTCACAATTGGAAGTTGAAGAGTCAGATGAGCCAAAGGGATGTTAGGAAGTATTTCTTCAGCCACAGAGTTGTTAGGAAGTGGAATAATCTGGCAAGTGATGTAGTGGAGGCAGGAACCATACATAGTTTTAAGACGAGGTATGATAAAGCTCATGGAGCAGGGAAAGGGAGGACCCAGTAGCGGTCAGTGAAGAGGCAGGGCCAGGAGCCGAGTCTCGACCCCTGCAACCACAATTAGGTGAGTACAATTATGTGAGTACACACACATACACAAACAGTGATGCTAGTTATGATCTCTTAATATTATTATTATTTTCAGGGGTGCCCAATAAATTTGTAGGGGGTCATACAGTGCACAGGGAATTTGAGGCAGTCAGGTTCAATCCAAGGAAGGGAAGGGAAGGGAAGGGTATGTCCACTTCCTTGGATCAAATGTCTCGCCAGCATCAAGGCACTTCACCTGATGGAAAAATTGCTTTATAAAGGTGTGGTGAAAGTAAATATGAAATCATGAGGGATGTGCTTTGCTTTATTTTTCAAGTAAAACAGAAAGATGGTCATAATTTGGGTTCTGATGTGTTTCTGCACCAACTGGCATTATTCCTGTGACCTACAAGGTTTTATCAGGTGACTGTAGCAACTACAGATGCAGTATAGTTATTCTGTGGGTTCCTCACTGGCAAGCACTGACTTACATAAAAAAAAAAAAAACGGAATGAATTGGGTTTAAACTCATGGCAAGTGAGTCATAAAACTCCAGGCCAGTGTGTAAGCCACTGGGCCATCTGGTTAACACACTGGCCTGGAGTTTTACGACTCACTCACCATGGGTTCAAACCTCGCCTGTTTAGTGGTTTCTTTGCAATCGTGTTATTACCATCTTGTGAGTCACTGGCCTGTGTATAATGAAGGGAATGTTCATGGTCATTGAAAGTCAGATTAAAGTTACATTCATTGGATATTCTCTCCATCCACAAGTAAGGTGAGCCTAAGTTTCAATCCTGATAATTGGGAGGTGTTTTAAGATTAAATTGTTTTACTACTACATGTCCAAAACAATCTGTGAAATTTGATTGTATGACTGTGGGAGAGATGGCAACACCTAATTGGCCTGAACCAAGCATGGAGTATTTGAGTAGTCAATGGGATCCTGCCACTGGTATGGATACGTATTAATTTATTGGCTAGGTAGGTCAGTAGCATTTATTCTGATGATTCATATCTCACTTTTTAAGAGGGTGAAAATAGATGTCTTGGCTGAAATGAGTCAAATTATATGTGGTCATTCAGGCATACTTCGGGATTCATTATTTTAGATGATGTCCATTGTCATCACTAGGAGATGCTACTTTGTGGATCTTTTAGTGTGTGATAGGTAAGTAGGGTTTTGTGTGTGTGTGTGTGTGTGTACTCGTCTATTTGTGGTTGCAGCTCCTAGCCCTGCCTCCTTGCTGGTCACTACTAGGGCCACTCTCCCTGCTCTATGACCTTTATCGTATAGATCCTGCCTCCACTACATCACTCTCCAGATTGGTCCACTTCCTGATAACTCTGTGACTGAAGAAATACTTCCTAACATCCCAGTGACTCATCTGAATCTTCAACTTCCAGTTGTTACCCCTTGTTGCTGCGTCTCGTGTTTGAAACATCCTGTTCCTATCCACCTTGTCAATTCCTCTTAGTATTTTATATCATTATCATGTCTTGTGTCCTTCAGTGTTATCAGGTCGATTTCTCTTAACCTCTCCTTGTATGACATACCCCTTAACTCTGGGACTAGTCTTGTTACAAACCTTTGCACTTTCTCTAATTTCTTGACATGCTTGACCAGGTGTGGGTTCCATACTGGTGCTGCATACTCCAATACAGGCCTGATGTACATGGTGTAGTGTCTTGATTGCTACTTTGTGTGTGTGTGTGTGTGTGTTGTGCACACTTGTGTGTGCATCCATGGTAGATAGCTTTAAGCCACTTTGCTCTTTGGCATACAGATGATCTGTGATTCTTTATTGCACCGAGGGTGAAGCCAGTTCCATAGTCAAGGTGTGAGGGCAGAGGCACCAGAAAGGGTAGACAAGTGCTGGTATGTGCTGTGTTTGGGTAATAAGTGATTGCTTGAAAACAATTCCTAGTTTTGAAGAGGATCTATGGTCATGCAAGGTCAACAGACAGTGTATCAGTCACTTAGAATTCAGGAGAATAAACCAATTTCTCATTTATTGTAAGGCAAAAAAAAAAAAAAAAGGGGGGAATTTATTTATGTAATTATTCATGTCTTTGCACATAGTGCTCAGAGAAAAAAAAATCACGTACCCACCCTGAACCACAATCAATGTATTCAGCAGGATGGCACCTTCATAATTGAATGAGCAAGGCTTAATAAAAGTGCTTACCTAAACAAGAACATTAACTATGTAGTCATCTTTCAGTTAGTAATGACAGCAGGAGAACCAGAAAACACCAGGAGTTATACACTTTCTGTTGCCACTCCTGAATACACAGGTAGGATCATCAGAAGCCCTGCCAGATGGGCCATCCTTTGTCTCATCCAAGGGTCACCCGACATGCCTTTAAGATGATCCAAGTTCCATTGGCCTGAGTATACCTGGAGAGGGTTTTGGGGCTCAGTGCCCCTGCAGCCTGGTCTGTGACCAGGCCGACAGAAGCTAGTTTTGTCTAGGAGCTAAATTTCACAAAAGAGGAACTATCCCACTTAATGAGGCCAACAGGAGAGGGAGAATTTGGGTATTTAGATTCAAGGGATGGGGAGAAAAGGTCTGATCCTTTGGATCAAGAGCCCCTTTACTGTGGCAAGGAATCCCCTACCTTCTTCAAGGAGTTTATTTTGGAGAGGCTTTCCAGCATTTTCTCTGTAATTTTAATTTGTAGTTATGACCTCTTGTTCTGCCAGTTAATGTGGGTAGGAGCCTTAGCTAATTCCTAATCCTTTTATAATCTTGAATGTGGTTATCATGTCTTTCCTTTTATCAATCATGACATAACTAATGCTTTCATCATCATAACTAAACACTAATCTAATGCTGTCAACCTTTCTTAACTCATGTTTTGTATTATTATTATTATTATAATCAAGGGGGAAGATTATACAGTGCCTGGGGAGGGGGATGTGGAAGGCATTCAGGCTTAATTTGGGGAACTGGAGCACAGATCCAATTCCCTAAATCAAGAGCCCCTCACCAACATCAAGGAACCTTCCTTGAGGGGTCATGTTTTGTAGTTCTAAGAACCATTTAATAATTCATCTTTGGACATTTTTCTATCTTCTCTTTATTTTTAGGTGTAGATATTATACGATCAGTGCATACCAGTTTTGGTCTAACATTTGTGAACTTTTTCAGTATTTTTTTTAATGCTCTGGCTGTTTCCCACTGAGATAGGGTGACCCAAAAAAGAAACACTTTCACCATCATTTACTCTATCTCTGGCTTGCCAGAGGCATGACGATACTACAGTTCAGATGCCCCTTCAAATTGCAAATATCCTCACCCATCTTTCAAAGTGCAGGCACTATTTTCCACTTTCAGGACCCAATCCTGACTAACCGGTTTCCCCAATTCCCTTCACAAAACGTTACCTTGCTCTCACTCCAACAGCTTGTCATATCCCAAAAACCATTTGCCTCCACTCACTATTTAACATGCTCATATACACCTTTTGGATGTCCAAACCCCTTTCACACAAATACCTCCTTTACCCCCCCTCTGTCCAACCTTTCCTAGGGCAACCCCTACCCCGCCTTCCCCCTATTCCAGATTTATGCATCATCCAAGTGTATTTTGCTTCATCCCCTCGAAATGTCCAAACCACTTCAACAACCCTTCCTCAGCACTCCGGATAATACTTTAGTAACTCGGCACCTCCTAATCTCCAAGCTACAAATCCTCTGTATATTTACACCATACATTACCCTCAGACATGACACCTCCACTGCCTCCAGCCTCCTCCTCACTGCAAGTCACAACCATGTGTGTTGGTAACACTACACATCCATTTCCCTCTTTACCTCCACAGATAATGTTCTTCGTCTCCATCCTCATACCTAAATGTTATTTATAAAATAGCTAATGTCACAGAGGAGCCTCACATTTTAAGTAATGTGTGCTAATTTTCCATTCATATTTATTGACGTAGTCAACAACTAGGTCCCTTTGTTTGATGCTTTAAGTGGTTTGTTATACAATTTGTATTCTGTGAGGTCTGTTTTCACTGGACTCAATTTCTATTAATGTTATCCACATTAAATGCCATCATCCATTTCATACTTGTTCAATATGTCCAGGTCTTGTAGGGATATAAACTTTTATTACTCATCTTGCATAGGGCTATATCACATGCAAACATTTTCATAGTTCCTTTTGGCAAGCCATTTGTACTGTAGAAAAACCTTAGTGCAGGCACTTCGCCTGCACCTTTCCATTCAAAGTCTCATCTGCTGTGAAAGTTTGCCTCTTACGTTTCCTGTTTTTTATAATTTCTAGATTATCCTTTCTTAAGGGCCTATAAAAAATGTTAAAAATCTAATTACAGTAAATGCAATCCACCCATCCATTTTATTCTTGAACAGTTTTAATTACATCCTTCTAGGTTAATAGACTTGATATACAGGATTTTTCTCCATTGTTTTCCTTGTCAGCGAGACAGGCATGTAGTTCAGGTGTGCTGCTTTACAGTTGCATTTTTCTTTATTAGATTAACAAAAACATGGATATACACTACAGTATATATGGGAATAAATATAGAAAACAATAAGCCTTGTAACAATATCTTTATTACACTAAACGAAGCCTGCAATCCTTACAATTAACCATACAAAAGTGCAGCAGTCTGTATCCAGCTCCATACAGCATTTTGTTGAGGGACAATTATTCAGCAACTGAAAATGATAAAACTCTGGCTTTCATATTAGTTTTGTGATGCTGTTAATGACAATAGGTAGAGCATTGTTTGTAACTGAAATATATGCACTACAAACAAAATACCTGAAATGTTGCTGAAATACTTGGTACATATTCTTGCATGAGGTCGCTTGAAAGTGCCATTAAGAATACCTCCTGTCATAAGACTATACAAAAATAACATTAAATACAGCTTCTGCTACAAAATATTAATAGAAAAAACATCAATATCTGAAATTGGGTACTCGTGCTATCTTAAAATAGGCTATTTTTTTTTCTTCTTTTGTTTAGTTTGACTTGTAAAGCCACAGTAGAGTAGTACAACTGAGATTAAAGAAACGTAAGTGAGCAAATATCAGCCTATATTAGCAAGAGGTGTTACTGGAGAGAGAGCTCTCATGTGCTTCTTCCATTTATCTTTTCGTGTATCTTGAGCTGTAGAAATATCATAGATAACTCTGGCACTTAAAGACTGCATAAAGGAAATTAAATTTTTCCAATTATGGTAACATACCTCCTATCATAGTCCACAGAAAAGGTGATTATAAATATGACAATGAGTTATGTACAATGAATCCTTCTTATATTCATCCCAGTTCATCTGCTCTTTTCTTGTGTACAAACTATACGAATCCTTGAGACCATAAAATTTCACCTTGCTATCTCAGCTAATTAACTCAAATCTGCATTATCAAATTTGAATTCAAAGTGATAATAGCGAGGGGAAACTCAAAATGGCATTTGCAAGAAAATTACACACATCAGAGTAAATAGCACATATCTGAAGGCAATGATAATTAAGGAAAGAGATAAACATCTTCCATGTAAATATTTTAAACTTCCTTTTAATAACTGTACATGATGGAAAATTATATCCCTCAGTTTGGATGGAATTATTATTTGTGAGAAGAAATAAAGTACATAGCTTTCATACAACAGTATTATTGTCAAAAAATTTGAGTAACAAGAACTTTCAGAGATTATGACAATTTTCCAGATCACATAATTCACATCAATCTAAACTACCTCAAAAGGTTAATCTAATCCTGCATCAAGACCCCAATCTTCTCACATTTGCAAAATTTAGTTAATGGCAATAGAAAATAATCTTTGAGCCTTGCCTTACAAAATAAGCTCCAAGCAAATTTAACTGAAAAAAATGGAATATCAAGTAATTCACTTTGTTGCTTGCAAAGCTGCCCATGGCAACACTGCAGAATACACTATGCTTGTTATCCAGGCTCAAGATCTTTAAGGCTGAGTTGCCAATGATATCTCAAGTTCAAATCAACCTTAAAGTGGTGATTGCCATATTTGCCACCAACAAAATTACAAACAATATACATGTTTTCTCTAGTTGAAGGCCGGTTTAATTTTTTTTTTTTTTTTTTGCAATATGTAGCAATAATGTCAATTATATCAATGTTCATTACTAGAAATTGGCTTAGGCTTATTGGGTATATGTGATAAATTAATAAAACCAATTTTATTTACAAATATCATATGCCATACACAAAATCTAAACGAAATTTTGCTCTGCAATTTCTGGCCCCATACTGCCACTAAGCAAGAAAGACAAAAATAAGTTTTTTTTTTGTAATGAACTCACAGCACTTGTCTTCTTCAATAAATTATTAATATACTCTAGAAAAAATTAGAGATATTGTGTGATCTTTCAGAAACGCAAATGAACTCATACATCACACTCGCTCTGACAACAGCAGGAATTCTTGTTACCATAGAAAGTGATGATGACTTTGAAGATCAGTCAGCATACACACATCGCCTGAAATGTGGGTGGTTGAGAGTTGTCATATTCACAAGTGAACGCGATCAAAGAGCAACGCAATTGTGGATGTACGTCGTCCAAGTCACGCCATAAATCAGCGACAGTAAATTAATGGTCACTAATTTACATGCTTGCACTGGTTTCACATGCACATGTGATCAAGGATTCATGAGATGCATGGGGCCAATGTGGTAGTGATAACAATGGGTGATGTGTGAGGGGGAAATTGGGTGCCACTACCTTGGACTTCACTTTACTTTCTGCCCGAATTCTTAAATAACTGCTTAAGAGTTGGCAGGTTCTGCAGAATCCACTTTTCATAGCTGATAGACCAATGCAATGTGAACAATAACTATGTTTGTCTGATTTTTTTTTCTATTACTCTAGGGACGTTTAAGCATTCGGGCCAGCAACTAAACCACCCTCCAGTGTCTCCTGATACCAGCCTATCACGATTCACCATTTCCACTGTCATCACCATCATCAATATCTGAAAAAATAAGAAAAAACTAGTGTAATGTCTAGAAATAATTAGGAGAAAATGCCTATTTATCAAGTTGTCAGCCAAAAGTGACTTGTTACAATGTAAAGCACATTACTGAAGGATGAATCATCACAGTAATGTATTCACAAGGAAGCATTACACCCACTTGGGTTTTACAGTGCACGAGGGGAATGAACAATAATTAGACTTGATCTGAGGAAACAGGAGGGCAGCTCCAATCCCTTGGATAAAGAGCCCTTCATCAATATCGAGGCACCTTCCTCGTAGAGTCACAGTGGTATACCTTCCTTGAAGGGTCACAGTGATAAAATAAACAAAAAGAAAGGAAGATGTGTACCAATGGCAAAATATACTGGCAACTATGTGAACAAGACAATATGCAGTTTATATCAAAAAGAATAATGTCTTTTTCACATACAAAGGAAGGTTAAATAAATAAAATGTAACTGAAAAGTAGTAAGCTACAGTCTTACAAAGTATGAAAATGCAACTTCAATGGGAGTTATTAAAATGGACAAATGGGTAGCCTTGTATAGTTCATTAAAAAAAATTAAATATATTTTACAGACTAGGATTTAAAAAAAAAAAAATTTAAATGAATTAAAAAATCTAGTGTAAACACAGAAGGGAGATATCTCTAATACTGGGCATTTTAACCAGCACATTATGGTTACATATGATAAAAATACAAGAAATATATTTAAAGACCTTTGGTTATACTACAGCAAATTGAAATACAAAGCATGGATGACTTCTCAAATTCATTTTTAGTGGCTAATGCCTTGGGTAGACAGACTATCATGACTGTCAAGGTAACAGGGAGGAAAACAACATGGATGATGTGGTAGTGAATATGGCTGGAGGGTATGTTCCTAATTTGGCTGGCAGAGGGGTCTTGAGCTCTATAGATTTTTGCAATTGTTTTAGTACCACCTTTATGGAGTGTAACTATCTTGTATGACCATCTCATCTCCACCAGTCTCCATTACTACCCCCTAGTCTCTTGAATCAAGGTTTTACTGTAGTTGGAGTATGGTAGTGAGCCAAACAACTAGTGGAAGAAGACATTTCCAACAAAAGGCCTTTTATTATTACATTTCACCTGAAATGTAATAAAAATAAGTTTTATTGCTATATTTTTTTCCACCAATGGTAATAATGTGTTTAAAGATAATGAATGCAGAGCTATTGTACTTAGATATGAGAGTAGCTGTATCAACAGATGACTATGAAGCTTTATGTAAGATTGTGAAAAAGAAAAACAGTCATAGTACATCTGTCATCCTTGTAACTACTGTATTCCCAAACATGCAATTACCACTACATATTTAGCTTTTAAAATATAAACATATCACTCACCATTATCGGATAGTTCTTCATCGTCATCTTCATCATCGTCATCAATGTCATAATCGTCATCATAGAAATCATACATATCTACAGGCTCAGTATCTGGCTTAACCTTGGTCTTGATACAATAATCTTCTTGCGTAAGTGGCACTACCACTCCATCACGCTCTGCTTCACTACGAGATGACATCACCTGTTTCCTGTAGATAAAAATAATAAAATTATTCCATTAAATGAATCAGAATAAGGATTTATTCTAGGACTCACGAAATCGTAATGACACGATTGCCAACAAACCATACCACGGGCAAGGATAGAACCTGCGATCAGTTGCAGGGTCTCTCTGATTGCAAGTTCTATCCCGCCCGTGGTATGATTTATTCAAGGACGTTGCTGTATACAAATACGTATAGCAATGTGAAGGTACTGTATAGTATAGCTGTCGAAATCATTACGTATGTGTAGCATTTCAGAGCTATCAGTAGTGTACTGCTATACTACCATCATTATATCAGAATGTGAATTTAAGACACTTAATATAGCTGCACTGATAAGTTAAATGTCCACTTGAAACATTGTATACAGTAAATAAAATACAGTGGACCCCCGCATAACGATGGCATCACATAGCGATTATTTCGCATACCGCTTACTTTAATTGCAAAAATTTTGCCTCACATACCGCTTAAAAACCCGCTTACCGATTTTCGTCCGAGACGCGTCCAATGTGCGGCCTGAGCCACGCTCACATGTTCCGCCGGTGGCATTGTTTACCAGCCAGCCTCCGCGGTAACATCCAAGCATACAATCGGAATATTTCGTATTATTACAGTGTTTTCGGTGCTTTTTCTGGAAAATAAGTGACCATGGGCCCCAAGAAAGCTTCTAGTGCCAACCCTACAGCAATAAGGGTGAGAATTACAATAGAGATGAAGAAAAAGATCATTGATAAGTATGAAAGTGGAGTGCATGTCTCCGAGCTGGCCAGGTTGTATAATAAACCCCAATCAAACCATCGCTACTATTGGTGGTACAGCTGCTGCTGCACTGTCAGCTGCTGCTGCTGCTGCACTGTCAGCTGCTGCTGCTGCTGCACTGTCAGCTGCTGCTGCTGCTGTAGCACCGTTGTTGGTGTGGCTTATTGAGAATACCAAGAAACAATTAACCCCAGAGGATTTACCACCCAGGATAACCCAAAAAAGTCAGTGTCATCGAAGACTGTCTAACTTATTTCCATTGGGGTCCTTAATCTTGTCTCCCAGGATGCAACCCACACAAGTCGACTAACACCCAGGTGAACAGGGAAAAATGCCTGGAACTAGTGCTCATATTGGTGAATTTAAAGCCAGCAAAGGTTGGTTTGAGAGATTTAAGAATCGTAGTGGCATACACAGTGTGATAAGGCCTGTTCTGGAAGAATATGCCAAACAGGACCTACAGTACTCAGGAGGAAAAGGCACTCCCAGGACACAGTGTCTCATCAGTCATTGCTGCATCTTCAATAAAGGTAAGTGTCATTTATTCTTCATTTAGTAGAGTAGTACATGTACAATATATACTGTGCATGTACTACTCTACTATTGTGCATGTATCCTTCTCTTTGTGTGTGGGAAAATGTATATTTCATGTGGTAAAATTTTTTTTTTCATACTTTTGGGTGTCTTGCACGGATTAATTTGATTTCCATTATTTCTTATGGGGAAAATTCATTCACATAGCGATTATTTCGCATAACAATTACCCCTCTTGCACGGATTAAAATCGTTAACCGGGGGTCCACTGTACTAAAAAGTAACATGCCTACAGTACTGTATACTTTAGCATGAAATTTTAAACAAGATATGTACACTGAAATTTAGAGTAGGTGGTTACTATTTATTGTAGCTGCTGGTATTATAGAGTGTGGGTATATAAAATGAACATTTTTCCTTTACACAAGACAAACTGTGCAATGTATGAGCAGCGGCACAAAAAATCTTAGGTTACATAAAAATAAGAAAATACAAAAGTATATAAAAGATACATTTTATTATTACAGTAAAACTAAATCATTCTTTTTCAAATTCTTTTATCTGGAATTATCCAGAGTTTGTAATTTAAAATGCAAATATGGAGCGATATCTAAAACCCAAAATTTTTTTTACAAAAGACAAGAAAAATTCGCCATTTGGCATTCAAAAGATTTGACCAAAATATGAGAGCTGGACTGCAGCGGTGACGTGTCCTGCAGAATGAGCATTTGTTTTTAAGAACTTTACACTTTTTTATATTATGAGACACTCTTGAAAGAATAAAACGTCAATACCATGTCTGGAACAATTCATCAAAAACCTGTACCTAGGAATATAACTGTTTTGGTCAACCCTGGACCATTGTCAAATTACAACTGGGGCAGGACAAGTAGAGATGGCTTAAAAACTATGTTGTAAGGGGTGAGGTGAGGAGGGAGTGGTAGTGACAGTAGTAGTAGCGGTGGTGGATGCAGAATAAGTGGTTGTAGTAGTAAAGGTAATAGCAGCAACAGTAGTAAAGGAGGAGGAGGAGGTGGCGGCGGCGGCGGCGGCAGCGGCAGCGGCAGCGGCAGCAGCGGCAGCAGCGGCAGCGGCAGCAGCAGCAGCAGCAGCAGCAGCAGCAGCAGCAGCAGCGGCGGCAACAGCGGCGGCAGAGGTAACAGCAGTGTTAGCAGCAGAAGTGTAGAAGTATCAAAAAAATTTTCATAGTAGCTGAAGTTACTCCCATACAAATTTTTTTTATTGTCTGCAAAGGATGATTTGGTGTTGTGATTTACATATCTGTATGTTAAATACAAGACTGAGAAAGAGAACTAGACAGAGTACTGTGCCTTGAAGTACAGAGCTTTAATTCTTTGTTCACTACTGCTGTGTTCTATTTGTTAGAAAGTTATCTGCCAACTTTTCTAATTATTCCTTTCAGATGCTGGATCCTCAACTCTTCTGTCATTTAGTGGACTGAACATTAATTCATGCCATTCTTTCTTTTGTCATCCACGCATGAACCTCCTTGGAGAATTGTACCAAATTCTAGTGCCAAGTGTTTTCTGATTTGAACTGTGCAAAAATACAGTATTTAGGATGTTTTGCAATTTCTTGAATTTCTTTGTGCCTCTATCATCTGATATGTGTTTTAGCTTTTGCTATATGCTGGTATGTGTGTAGATTATGCTCAATTTTAAGCAATTTAATAATCTTTTCTTCAGTACATTCTTCAATATTCTCTTTTATCTTGTAGGCTTTCTCAGTGGAACATTTTATATATCTTGTGTATTTCTAAATTCAATGTTTTCATGCACTGGTGTCAGTTAAGAATGTTAAGAACCACTTTCCAAGGAATATCCAAGTTTCCTTTTAATTCTGTCTTGGTCAATTCTCCGATTGGTGAAGTTGGATAGTATATCCATCTTATGTTTAGAGGATGGGAGATCGAGCCTCCACCCCTCCTTGTGCATATTGACCAAAATAGCTTATCACTTCACATAAAAAATAAATATATTCTTTTCACAAAATATTTCAAAATTAGCTTTTTCACATTTCACTCACGTTTCTATGAATATCTGTGATAAATGCATGGGAAGTAGTGAAGAATAGTCTTCCCTTTCACTTTCTTAAGTGTGGTGGAGCAACCTGTTGCCATCTGTCACCTCCAATGTGTGTTTATGCATCTTACATGTTGGTCATGTTGCTGTCTGAAGCAGCTTTGGAAAGACGAGCCTGGCTGGGTTTTATATGACTGGAAGAGAGGTTAACCAAGCTTGCAGAGGAAACTGCAAAGAAATATTCATTTATGGAATCCAGAAGCATGACAAAAACTAAATGAAAATTCCTTTTTTTGCATAGTGCTACAATCTGCATAAATCAAATCAACTATCACAGTGTACTTAGTCAGGATGCTGTAGCATAAATGTCAAAAATTAAAAACAAAGCAGCCAAAATAAACCCAATCCAATGTTGACCAATGTCTGTACTACATAACACAAAGGACTAAACATCAGTTGTTGCAACTCACTAGCCATCCAATAAAAATTAATATTGGTATAAAAAATTACCTGATGATATTTTCATATTCTTTATCCTTGCCCTTAGAGTCCCTCCAGCGACGGTACATAACGGAAGCATCCACATTGGCCGGAGAATAAGTATTAGGTTCGTTCAGCAAAGAAATTACAGATAGCAACACTGTGCGCACATTCTGAAATATGGAATTTTAACAGGAGGCACATTATGAAAAAAAGCTCTTAAGAAAAAAAGCAATAAACAATACTTTCAGATATTAATACTGTATATACTGGTAATTCTAAATTTAACTAGGCTTTATTGATTAGTTACTTGGATATATTAACATACAGGACAATATTTACAAACAACCATTGTGACATATTACATGATACCTTGCCATCTTCTATGCACCATCTCTAAGTGTCATGAATTTATGCTTATTGTCTTAATTCCTTGATCACCTCTCATAAGAAAATAATTACTGTACATTTATAGCATATGCTGCACAGTAGTTGCTTAGAGAAGCACCATTATTATGGGATCTAAAAATATAAGTTAGAATGTTTAAAGGACAGAAGTACAATGCCTGCACTTTAAAGGAGGGGTTTGGGATATTGGCAGTTTGGAGGGATATGTTGTGTATCTCTATACGTATATGCTTCTAAACTGTTGTATCCTGAGCACCTCTGCAAAAGCAGTGATAATGTGTGTGTGTGGTGAAAGTGTTGAATGATGATGATGAAAGTATTTTCTTTTTGGGGATTTTCTTTCTTTTTTTTGGGTCACCCTGCCTCGGTGGGAGACGACCGACTTGTTGAAAAAAAAAAAAAAAAAAAAAAAAAATGTCTCTGAACATTTTTTCCTGAGAATAATTTATCATAATGTGTTTTACCATAGCAATGAATACAAGCAGTTTAACCCCTCGACTGTTCTGGTCGTATATATACATCTTACGAGCCAGTGTTTCGGACGTATATACATGTATACTCAATAATTTTAGCGGCTTCAGATAAAGCAGGAGAAAGCTGGTAGGCCCACATGTGAGAGAATGGGTCTGTGTGGTCAGTGTGCACCACATAAAAAAATCCTGCATCACGCAGTGCATAATGAGAAAGAAAAAGACTTTTTTTTGGATTAAAACGCCGACTTTGAGGTGTATTTTCGTAAAGTATTTATTGTTGTATTCTCGTTTTCATGGTCTCATGTGATGAAATGGAAAACATATTACAGAAATAGAGATGATTTTGATTAGTTTCACAAAGAAAACGACCTTGAAATTGAGCTTAAAGTAGTGGAAATATTTGATTTTTACCAAAGTTCAAGAGTAAGCAAATTACACCACACGTCTAATACACATCAACTGGGGAGTCTAATATTCTTTCACTAGTGCACTGATATTATTTATACCATTTTTACAATAATGCAGTAGTCTGCATAACAGTAAATTTTATATTTTTTGTATGAATAAAAAATAAAAATAGAAAGCAATAGTAATATAAGAGAGGCCTAGAGATGTGACTAATGAACAGAGGATATGTTATTTTAGTGCCAAGAATGTCTACATTGTTTATTCTGAACCCCGTTTTGAAATTGGCATCTTTTTTTAATTTGCGTGAAATTGGCCAAATTGCCAATTTCTGACCACTTTACTGGGTAGTTCAGATCTGTAAATGGGCGGTTTCTTGTACTCTATTGATAGAGAAAATGGAGTTCTAAAGAAATAGATACAAGTTTGGTCAACTGGAACAATGGAATTGGCCAAAAACAGGGCTCAAAGTTGGCGAAATCACCGATGCGTATATGTCGCCAAGACCACTAACTTCGCGGGAGCATGATTCCACGAGTTTTCAACCAAATTTCGTACTTTTGGTGTCATTACCATCGGGAAAAGATTCTCTATCATTTCATAAGAAAAAAAAATTTGTTTTTTCCAAAAAATTGTGACATAGAATGAGTTTCAGAAAGGGGCTTGCGACAGTCAAAGTGTTAAAGATGAAGTGAGCACAGAACTATATCAGATTATTATTATTATAATCAAAAAGAAGTGCTAAACCACAAGGGCTAACTATATCAGAGACATAAGAACACAAATGATTTCAATAGTGCCATAATTTGAATGACCCATTTTATAAGTTCTAATCCATCCTATCATTTTCATGGCCTTTATTGCATTTGGTTTATTGTTATCTAAATGATTTGTCGTCTGACACCATTCTTAAGTCTTTTTACAGTACGGTATATGTTCCTTTCAGTCTAACAGATGATCTGCCTGCATTTTGAATCCCATGCTCATTCTGAGCTCTCCATTCTCTCCATGCTGTCTGCCATGAGGAAGAGAAACAATGAAGGTGCTAGGACTGTACCTTAGGTTACTTAACTTTTTACTCTGTTAAAACTGTAATTTGTTTTAGTTTTCTACCACTCTGATCTGACTGTTAAAAATCTGAATATCCATTTTTCTACTTTTTTCTTATACTCAATGATCTTATTTCAGAGGCTACTGTATCGCTATAGTAGCATATGACAAATTTAAAAATTTGTGTAGACCACATCTACATTCTGTTTTTCTTCCCATGCCTCAGCAAGTTTGTCATAATGATCTAATAATTGTGATAAGCACAAATATCCTGCTCCAAAATCATGCTCACTTTGGTTGTATAGTTTGTAATTTTCTATAAAATCAACAAGTTGGCATCTCAGCACTCAAAAACTTTAAAGATATGCGATATTAGCGCTACTGGTCTGTAGTTTTGTGCCATTGCTTTCTGCCTACTTCGTGAAGAGGAATTGAGTGTGCCCTCTTTAAACGACTCTGGGATTGCGCCTGTGATGGCTATGCAGGTAAATGGGCTGCTAACAGCAATAGCTCGATTAACCCTTTCAGGGTTTCCGGCGTACTAGTACAGCTTACGCACCAGGGTTATTGACGTACTAGTACGCCTAAATTCTAGTGCCTTCAAATCTAGTGAGAGAAAGCTGGTAGGCCTACATATGAAAGAATGGGTCTATGCGGTCAGTGTGCACAGTATAAAAAAAAATCCTGCAGCACACAGTGCATAATGAGGAAAAAAAAAGTACCGTGTTTTTGGTTTAAAACAACGACTTTGCAGTGTATTTTCGTATGGTATTTATGGTTGTATTTTAGTTTTCTTGGTCTCATTTTATAGAATGGAAGACATATTATAGAAATTGAGATGATTTTGATTGGTTTCATAAAGAAAAGTTCTTTGAAATTGAGCTCAAAGTAGCAGAAATGTTCGATTTTTACCAAAGTTCAAAACTAAGCAAATCATGCCAAGCATCCAACACACATTAACTGGCGAGTCTAATATTCTTTCACAAGTGCGCCGATATTATTTATACCATTTCTACACTAATGCAGTAGTCTGCATAACTGTAAATCTTCTATTTTTTTGTGAATAAAAATTCAAAGTGGAAAGCAAAAGAGATGTAATAGGGGCCTGGGTACGTGACTAATGAACAGAGAAAATGTTATTTTAGTGCCAGGAATGTCTGTCTTGTTTATTCTGGACCCTATTTGGAAATTGGCATCTTCTGAAATTTATGTGAAATTGGCAAAATTGCCAATTTCTGACCACTTTATTGGATAGTTGAAATCAGTAAATGGGTAGTTTCTTGTACTCATTCGATAGAAAAAATGGAGTTCAAGAGAAATAGATATGATTTTTGTCGACTAGTACACTGGAAATGACTGAAAATAGGGCTCAAAGTGGGCGAAATCGCCGATGTGTAAACATCGTCTAGACCGCTAACTTCATGAGAGCATAATTCTGTAAGTTTTCCATAAAATTTCATACTTTTGGTGTCATTATGATTGGGAAAAGATTCTCTATCATTTCATAAGAAAAAAAAAAATTTCCGAAAAATTTTCGACCCTGAGAACGAGTTTAGGAGAGGGCTCTCGACCCTGAAAGGGTTAAACAGGCATCTAACAGGAAAATCTGGCCTCTGGCTGAGCTACCAGGTAAGAACCCTCAAAACTTGGCCACAATTATGACATCTAAGCTCTTCCAATGAACACCAAGTATTTGCGCTTATTTAATTCTATATTTCTTTATGAATAATGCATTCCAGGAATGAGGGATAGTTGCTATGTACATGGGCATTTTGTTTCATTTATTATTATTTCAGTTTCTAGAATTTGTGCTAATATCAGATGTATAATATGTAGAATGGGATGTTAATGAAGACAATTACCAAGATTTTATTCTTCACTTATTTTCAAACCACTTCCATCATATCATTTAAGGACTTCAACAGTTCTGCACAAATAAATTATTCTTTCAGAGGAGCCTATTCTTTTTTTAAATAATTTACTCCATTAAATCTTCACAAGTACACTCTTTCTCACCAGGATGCACTTCATTCTACTGTATGCTAGGGTTCATGTAAAATAATCTTGTACTGCAAAAAGGATGCAGGGTTGATGACCCCTGGAACCCATAAGTACACAACAAGTAGGGAGGTAGGTAGGTACAGCACATAGTACCTAATCTTTCAGAAATTTATTCTGAAGAGGCTACCTTAATTGACATCCACTGTTTGTGTTGCTAATTAAAATATTCCATTAAATCTTTGTTACTGTAATCTTAAACATATAAATATTAAGTTCTGCATCATAGCATGTCTTGCAGTACAACAAACTTCCAGCATACACCTCGCATCAAAGAACACAACTGTGTACTTACATACATCTTGCTCCTTCCATTTCCATCACTGATTATATACAGGAAAAAAAAAACAGTATACCACTGTTGATTTTTATCTCAGAGGAAACAAAATCATAGCCGACTGGTAGAAACTCAACAAAGATAACTAATTTTTTTTTTTTTATTAACACATCGGCCGATTCCCACCAAGGCAGGGTGGCCCGAAAAAGAAAAACTTTCATCATCATTCACTCCATCAATGTCTTACCAGAGGGGTGCTTTACACTAGTTATAAAACTGCAACATTAACACCCCTCCCTCAGAGTGTAGACACTGTACTTCCCATCTCTAGGACTTAAGTCCGGCCTGCCAGTTTCCCTGAATCCCTTCAGAAATGTTACTTTGCTCACACTCCAACAGCATGTCAAGTATTAAAAACTATTTGTCTCCATTCACTCCTATCACAACTAATGTCACCATTAAATCAGAAACTGAACACAAAAAATGGAAAATGAGGTACATAGGTAAAAAATGTGTACCTATTTACTTCCCCGACTCCCCCATTTCCATCCAACTGTAATTCTAAATAGAAAGTACAAATAAATCTCCACACACACAGGTTTGATTTTACCTGACAAGCCTCGGAAGATTTATGTTTATGATTGGAGAGTAGCAAGATTAACTTGTATTTGTGACTTGCTACCATACATAGCACTTTTGCAACATTTTTAAGTACAATTAGTACATTCTGCATTCCACACAGGCAATAAGCTACCAACTCCATTTCTTATGCTTCAGTATACAATACTTTCGACAACTTACAAGAACTACCAATATAACACCATTGAAGATAAATTCATCTTTAACTGGGCGACATCACCAAATAAAATATGAGTATAATCATTACATAGTGTTGTTGAGTGTAATACATTATAATGGTGTCCAAAGTCACTTAGATACCAGGTGATTTGCTGTTTATACGTTTTTGTTGCATTAAAGAAAACCCACTTTTATTTTGTACTTTATTTTCTGCAAACAATTTTTTCAGCAATATACTTTACTTTCATGGCATATGTTTCTTTAGCCTTGCATTTACATGGTAAATGTTTTTCACACTTCATTTTGTATACATTAATATTATTTGATCAGAGTATATGTTGATAATTCATTTCTTGTGAGACGACTGCAAGTTGTTGTTAGGTTGCATTTATTATTGACATGGGCTGAATGTCTGTTTTTGTTCATTTTATTTAACTTTAATGCCATACCAACCTTACCTTAGCTTTGCATAATTTTTCACGTTTCTGTCAAGTGTTGATGACGATGCGGGTAGCTTGTCGAGCTGTGTAAAGCTAGTAAGTAGGCATGTTCCATCTTTGCGTTTAACTCATCAAGGGCACTGTATGCTCTCCAAGTTTACTGTATGAGTTAGCACTGCCCCTCCTGTAGACAGCACTCTTGTTGGCTCAACCTGGAACTTTGGTGATCCACTCAGTCTCTCAGACACAGCTTGCTAGAGACAAGATGCCCCTCATCTCCACACTTCTGGCTTGATCACTGGCTTCGCAAGCACGTTTACCAATAAAGGAACACATTACTCTTTAAGACTCCCTACTCAAAAGGGGACCTAACACTTGTCCAACCAGGGATACACTAGTCCACTACCAGTTCAACTAGCCTACTACCACTGGTATTATGCATACTATGAGATATACTGTCCTTAATAATCATAATAGTTTTAAAGAATAGAATGGTTATAGCTAAAAATTATAGTATGTCATCCAAAACTCTCTGCCTATTAATTTTTAAAGATATGGCCTGCCAAATGCCACAAAAACATACCTATTCAAGTCATTCAACTTTTACATTTCCTAAAAGGTTTGCTAAAGTAATTTTATAATAATTCCTTCATATCTTCGGTGTATATTAATTTTGAATTAATTTTAATTTCTTATACTGTAATATCATCCAAGAGCATTTTTATTATTCAATGGGGTGCAGCATATCTCAAAATAAAGTGTAAATGCCCATATGTTAATCTCCAGAGAATGCAGGTTGAGTGTGAAGTTTGTCTATTTGCATTTAATCAGAAGAAATAAAAGTAAGAAAAACTCCTAGAGGAAACAATGCATTAAAGATGGCTTTCACACACATTTTCTTGGGCCCAACAAAATCCTGAACATAATGAGGCAATTTCACTAACATGCAATGTTGTATAATGGCAAATAACAGCACAAACAGTGCAATCTAACAAAAAGTAATTTACCTGTGTAGGATTCCAACGCTCACACGGAAGCTCCCCACTCTGAGGATCATCCACTGGAGGGTGTAGGATAGAGATACAAAGGTCGCCATTCTCATAAACATTAGGATGCCAAACTTTAGTCAGGAATCGGACGGAAGGTGGTGAATAGGGATAATCTGGCGGGAATTTAACATGTGCCTGTAAAGAAGGAATAATCATTAGTCGAATGAAGAAACTTGAATGAACAAGTATCTGACTGTACAATGTTTTAGTTAAATAACAAAAAGGCACAATACCATGACTTGAACAATACACAAATAACCCGCACATAGAAGAGAGGAGCTTACGACGACGTTTCAGTCCGACTTGGACCATTAACAAAGTGTGACTTTGTAAATGGTCCAAGTCGGACCGAAATGTCGTTGTAAGCTCCTCTCTTCTATGTGCGGGTTATTTGTGTAATGTTGTAGTTATCCTTACAAAGACGAAATACCTTTCAATCCCCATAATTTGTGGGGTTATGTTCCTGGAGGTGACAGGAATCACAATGCCACGGATATTTGGAAATTCCACACGTTTGAATTATAATACTAAAATATTTTTGGCCATCTCTAATCTGTTAAATACTGACACTGATAAGAAAGAGTGAGCTCATTTTAAATGAAATCTTTATGTTTTTAACTGAGGGGTCGTGTGCCAAGCAACCAGACACTGGTCACCAAGAAAGTGTGTGAATAATTTGAGCTATCCACGAAATCATCTTTATTAAAAATGCATAGTCGATTAAGAATGTTGTATGTGGATTCCAGGGTTCAACTACATTATTTCAAAAGGGGTAAGCAGAGTATTTCACAATACATACATACACACTTGTTTCCTGTGGGTATAGTAGTAATTTGCAACAGTTGGTGTGATATAGTTTGTGCATGCAGAAATATTTATCAATGATCACAATGTGATATCAAACTATAATCATCAATTGAAAAAAAAAAAAAGTATTACAGACACCATCTGTTTTGACAAAGTTGAATTAGAGTATCATCTATCAGAGAAATGTAGGTGGTACTTTTAGTATCTTCCACAAAATGATGAAAGATAATAAACTGATACCATATATATGTGTCTGCTTTTCAGTAGTGGTTGTATTTCCTTGTGAGGAAAAATGGAAAAATTTCTCCTGGTAAGGATCAAATAATGATTCACTCAGTGGAGCTATTGGTCATTTGACCAAAGCTTTCTGGCTTATCCAGTCACCCCATAATTGTTTCAAGTATCAAATTCAAGATATTTAACTTCCTAAACACAACTTAATCACCATTAAAGCCATAAATCATATTTCCCCATTCTTCCTAATATTCTCTTACAGACAAGCTTGAGGTGCCTATCTTTTTATAGTGTAACGAGTTGTACTGTACCTATAGTATTGTACTCTATAATAATACATAACATCCACAACCAATAAAATGGCTGATCAAATTTTAAACATAATTTACAAATTACTACATGTAGTCAGAATAAAAGTCTTGTTGTAAAGGTGTATTATACTACACCCCCACCACTATTACACCCTTACTTGCTTTCTACTGCCATCACTACACTCACCAACCACCTCCATGCCTCACTAGTAACCTCGCAGAATATTTCAACACCAACTACTACACCAACCTCCTCCCTTGATAAAACAAGCCAAGAACACATTATGTAACTCCACTCAACCATGGACTACACTTGGCCAATGACAGCAAAAAGCAACAGTGTTCAGTAAACCAGGCCATAATGTGTATTTAGTTCCTGCCCCTGCTCTTGAGCTATGCTGACTGCCACTACTAGTTTCTAGCCTTTTGAGCCTTATACTGTAGTTGACCCATAACTGATTTCAAGTGGATGGAGTACTGTGTTGAATGCTTTCTTGCAGACCAGGAGAACCTTCAAAATATGAGATGCCAAGTCAATGATATTGATGTACACTACAGACCCCATTTAAAGCATGCAAAATTTCAGATCTGAAGAACGTATGCATACTGAACTTTCATTATTCATACCAATCCAGTTAAACACCTAAACTATTAGGAATGAATTACGTTCCTCAAACTGCACTTCTTGGAATGAAGGTGGGAAACATATAAGTAATGCCTGGAAAATTTAGTACAAATTAACGGCTACCCTGATCTCGTAAGAACGGCATTTTTAAAATCAGTCCTTTTAGCATCTTTTATGTGTTAATTCCCCTCAAGGGTGGTTCTTTGATGCTGGTAAGGGGCTCTTGATCTAGGGAATGGGATCTGTGCTCCAGTTCCCTGATTTGAGCCTGAATGTAAATAACGTGCTGAAAATATCTAGCCTACACAGAACTCATAGCAATGGTTTTAAGTTGGAAAAATTCAGATTCAGGAAGGATATAGGAAAGCACTGGTTTGGTAATAGAGTTGTGGATGAGTGGAACAAACTCCCAAGTACAGTTATTGAGGCTAAAACGTTGTGTATTTTAAAAATAGGTTAGATAAATACACGAGTGGGTGTGGGTGGGTGTGAGCTGGACCTGATTAGCTTGTGCTACTAGGTCAGTTGTCGTGTTCCTTCCTTAAGCGAATGTGACCTGCCCTGACTAGGTTGGGGCATTGGCTTAAGCCGGTAGGAGACTTGGACCTGCCTCGCATGAGCCAGTAGGCCTGCTGCAGTGTTCCTTTATGTTCTTAATGCCCTCCATCCCCCGCCCCCCACATGCGCTGTATATCCTCTGGGTTTAGCGCTCCCCCATAATAATAATAATAATAATAATAAATAATAATCATGTGTTAATTGTGATAAATATTCCTCACCTGTATGCCATGGAATACAAATGAAATTTTAAACCCTCCCAGTAATAAGAAAAGTATGAAGGACCACTGCACTAGAACTCTTAGCACGTTTGGGAAATTCAACCTCTACGGGCAGAGAAATTTATCACATGTCCAGCGTCACAGGTAGCACCGACACACCCTAGGCACCAGTTAATGAACCATCTCTGGGAGGGGAAGAGAGAGCAGAAGCAGCCAGCGACAACGAGCGAAAGTGCTCACGTGTAGTAACCAACCATTATATAGAACGAGGATCTCTCAGCCCTCACTCATGGTAATATCTACAAAGTCATGTAGAAGTGTTTCACAATGGGTAGACAATTTACAATGTCAAAACATTTACTACACGCCACACTGACTGACAAAACTGCCGTGACCACGGCGGTGGCGTGGTTATCAAGGCAGTGCTGGCAGAAGTGGAGACGTGAACGGCGGTTTGCTTAACATTAGTGGTATCATTATTCAATCAATATTTTTTTTTTCTATTGTGACACGTGTAGGTTTGTATGTTGTTAGTGGTTACTGGAACATGATTACGAGGGTCACTACCCCCGACGCCCGGTCCCACACTAGGCCTCCAGGTTGATAGCTTGATCATTTAGGCTGTTAGTGCTAGTCACACCGCGGTCCTGCTGTTCAAGCCCTAACCTGAACAACTTACCAGCATCCCTCTTGAAGACAGCCAGGGTTCTGTTGGTGCTTACCTTTATGTAGGAAGACAGGGTGTTGAAAAATCTTAGTCCCTTTACACTTATTGAGTCATCTCTCTGTACTCGCTGCAACCTCGTTTTTCACTATTTTTTGTACCGTCTGCCAAGCCTCTTGCTCCAGTGTTAAGTAATTTTAATGGGCTGCTTGTGTGATTCCAGTTAAGAAAGCCTAAGTGACATCATTGGCTAAGTATCTCTCGTTCTGAAGGTTCTAGCTATCCAGCTTATAAATTTCCTTGCGTTTATGACATTACTCCTGTAATTATTCAACGCTCATAAGATCGGACATATTACTAATGCCTCACATTTCTCTTCCACTTTACCGAGTGGTTTTAGTTTTATATTTTTTTCTTTTTTTTTTTAATTTTTTCCGTAGCGGAGTATATGAAATTTGTCCTCAAACACCATATTGTTTTCTATGGCCCACTAAAAGACCTGGGCAATATCAGCTTGGTAATTTGTGTCGTCAGTGGGTGCCACTCAGGTACAAATAAGAGTATAGTCTGCAAAAGATGATACAGTACTATGAGTAATGTCTATGCAGGATATGAGAACAGAGAGAGAACTGGGAGTACTGTGCCTTGAGAAACAGCTTTCCAGTGTGGCAGCTTGTGATTTAACTTATTACCCACTGCATCGGATTAGTTAGTAAATTTAAATTCCATCTGACCACTTTGCCAGTTATTCCTTCTGAACGCATTCCACGTGCTATTATACCATGATTACATCTATGTATACTACAAAATTTATGTATATTACACCTGCATTGCTCATCTTCCAGTGCATCTAAGACCACTAACCATGGTCTGTTTTTTTTTACTGGATTTCTAGACGCAGATGCTCAGGGTAAGTGACAACTCGGCCGTTCGAACAGCTACTCAGGACCAATCTTCTACATGGAGGAGGAGGGAGATCCTTTCTCGGACTATTTTTCAGTCTCAGTAATGAAAAAGTCGCTGGCAACAACGTTGGTTAGAGTTAGAGCACAACAAACTGTTTTCCATCACACTGCACCTTGGTTTATGACCACTTTCTTTCCATCAGTGACAAGCGTGTTTAGAACGCTTGATTTAATACAAATCTACGACAACTCGCACGTGGATACACCACTCTGACACCCATGCCTCCCTGCGAGGATTGCCAGACCCAGCTATCGATTCAACCTCTATTATTAGATTATATATATATTATATAAAGCAAGCGAAAATTTCTGTATGCAATACTTTCGCAAAAATAATTCTGAATTTAACGAAGAAAATATATTTCGGTGTTTATTATTAAATTACTGTAAACTTATAATTAGTTGGATTATGCTAAATTAAACTGCGCTTGTTATAATAAGGTTAGGTAAGTTTCCTAAGGTTCTTTTCGCACAAAAGCTTTATTTTTTATATCAACATAAATGAAAAAAATTATCTTTAAATGTATAAGAGAAAATTTAAAAAAAAAATCAAACATGTTCTTGATAACTGACCAGCTTTATCTATTTAGCATTATATATATATATATAAAAATATAATATATATATATATATATATATATATATATATATAAGGTTGTGTGTGTGTGTGTGTGTGTGTGTGTGTGTGTGTGGTGTGTGTGTGTGTGTGTGTGTGTGTGCAAATTCATTTTCGAAATCAGCAACGCACCG